CGCTTTGCTGTTTTTTTCGGGGTATTTTATTCCCCCCCCCCCCCTCCCCCGCCTCTCTCTCTCCCCTTCCCCACCTCTTCTCTCCCCTTCCCCGTCTTCCCTCCCCGCTCTCTCCCTCCTTCCCCCGCTCTCTCCTCCTTCCCCGCCCCTCTCTTCCCTTGCCGCCTCTTCTTCCTTCCCCGCACTCTCTCTCCCTCCAGCCCCTTCCCGCTTCTCCCCTCCCCCGCCTCTCTCCTCCCTCTTCCCAGCCTCTCTTCCCTTCTTCGCATTTCTCTGCCCCTCTTCTCCGATTCTACTCCCAATCAACGAATGTTCCTGCATATTGTGGCATCTCCCATATCCATTATTTCGTCGCGGCCCTATGCACGGTTCTATGCAGCGGGCGTAAGCGTCTCTTGATTCTCAGTGCACGCATTGCGACAACGACCCAGCACCCGTAACACCAACAATTGTGACAAGCTGTCGGATGGAGGTATTTGACACACGTACGCGGTATAGCATATTCGAATGTTCGTGATTACGTAACACGCGAGTCATCATTATTTGTTGTCATTGTTACATACCTCCGACGATTCGCTGATTACGTAACACGCGTCTCACATTTATGGTGTCAATTGTTTACATTTTTACGGGGGAGGCGAGTGAATAATATACCCGAACAAACACGGCAAGTCGTATTCGACATAGCAGTTTAGAGTGCAGGTCGGGACTCATGTCTGTCAGACGGCAACAATCACTCCACCCCTGACTCGCTGCCTCACTGCTAATTTGTTCAGTCAACTACACAAACACAGAATGTCCGGATAAACAGTCCGATTGCCGACTCTACTCACCGCAGCGCTGTTTTGTTTTGTAACGGAGAAATGCGCCGGAGTTTGCAGAGCGAGTTCTCGTTGTGAATCGCATGAGATCATGTATAGCGAATATTGAACCAACGAATAGAAGCATTGTGGGTATATACCGCTGTGATCAAAGGCATGGCCTCATATTATAGCTGTTACTTGCACGCACACGTCATTGACTGTCAACATCATCATCATCGTCATCTACATCATGATCATCGTCATCGTCATCGTCATCGTCATCGTCATCGTCATCGTCATCATCATCGTCATTATCGTCATTATCATCATCATAATCATCAACACCACCACCATCATCATCATCGTTATCATCGTCGTCGTCATCATCGTCGTCGTCATCATCGTCGTCGTCGTCATCGTCATCATCACCATCATCATCGTCGTCGTCGTCGTCGTCGTCATATAGTGATCAACCTGTCACCGTATCTCGTCGCGTAATGATACGTACTCACCATCTCCCCGAAAAAATACGGTAGCGGTACTTTCGTCATTATTCCTGCTTGCGTCACGTGTGCGCCGCTAGCTGCGTCACGTGCGTCGCGCGCGCATCACTGCCGACGCTCCGTCAGCGCTAGCAGCGCCGCCGCTAGCGTCGTCGCCAGCTGCCGACGACGTAAGGTTTCATGTCTACAGCGCATGCGCCGGACATACGGGTGTCCAGCTGCTGCTGCTGCTGCTGCTACTGCTGCTGCTGCTGGTGGTGTCAGCCACGGCACGCGGCACACGCTCGCCGCGGGTCACTGCGGGAAGATCGTTCACGAGAGAGAGACAGAGAGAGACAGAGAGAGACAGAGAGAGACAGAGAGAGACAGAGAGAGACAGAGAGAGACAGAGAGAGACAGAGAGAGACAGAGAGAGACAGAGAGAGAGCCAGAGAGAGACACTCAGAGAGAGAGAGAGAGAGAGAGAGAGCGGCTCGGTGATGTGATGCTACGCGTGCTTCGCTCGCTCAGCAGCTGCTGCATCCTAGCGCACCGATACGTGTGTACGTGTGTTAGCGCGCTGTGCCGTCGTCCCGCCGCCGTCGTCCCGCCGCCGCCGCCGCCGCCGCCGCCGCTGCAACAGCTGCTGATCGTATATACATGATAACACGAACACTCACGTTATGCATGAGCCGTTAAAATAAAACCAAATTGAAGAGAGAGGGAGCGCGATAGGGAGAAGAGAAAGGAGAAGAGGCCACCGAGCGAGCAGGCGGTGACACAATCATGAACAGGTTTTCGACCCCCCTACGACTATACTGTTCTGTAGAATTGTGTGCCATCGGCACATTTGCATGCTACACCCCCCTCCACCCCCACCCCCGCGGGCTGCCGCTGCCGCTGCTGCTTCCGCTGCTGCTTCCGCTGCTGTCGCTACTGCTGCTGCTGCTGCTGCTATCACATCAGTTGGACCATTTGCTTAGATTACATCTATGGCAGAATGTGCTATAGCCCTGCGGCAGCGATCCGCGGGCTATAGTACTAGAGCTAGATAGACCAATGCAGTAATACTAATATTATCATCTGCACTGCTTTAGTGCAACTGCTTAGTTCGTATTCATAATTAATTGTTACCCGAAGCGTGAATGTCGAGAAAAATTACCCAATCATTTGATTCGTGTGTGGCTTACATTGCTGACATTGCGTTCTTATTTCAGGCTTGTAAAGAGTTCACATTTGAAAGAGCGAGACAGCGTGACAGAAGATAAATGGTAATTTGAAGTTTGGACGACCTCTTCGCTTCTACGGGGACAAATACGACTGCCAACAGCGCCCCCTCACAACAAGCGAACGTCCATCGCGCGTCGGCCATGCCTCGCGACGCGTCGCCGCGGTGACGCGATGGTGAGAGCGGTGCGTCTGTGGGGAGCGTTCGCGCGACGCAGGAAGCTCATAGTCTGCTCCCTCGTCTCCTTCCTCGCCGGAGTAGCGTTCGCTTGGTTCGCGCGTCGCTATGGCGACCTCGCACGTCCGCCTCGCCTCACCTGCCTCGAGCGGGAGCTGGAGGGCGGCGGGCGCTCGCACCTGCCGTCCGCACACCTGCTCATTATCGTCATGACCGCGCCCGCGTACCTGGAACGCCGCGACGTGATCCGGCAGACGTGGCTCCGCCTGGCGGGGGCGGGGAGCAATGGCGTAGAGCATCACTTCGTCATCGGCACGGCCGGGGCGTCGGCGGCGGAACGCGCCGCGCTGGATCGCGAGCACGATCGCCACGGCGACCTGCTGCGTCTGCCGCTCGTCAACGACTCGTACGGAGCGTTGACGGCGAAGCTGCTAGCCGCGCTGGCGTGGGTCGACGACCACCGCAACGCAGACTTCGTGCTCAAGGTCGACGACGACACGTTTGTGCGTCTCGACGCCCTCTACGCCATGCTGCGGGACGACTATGCCGGCGCCGGCGACCTCTACCTGGGGTTCTTTGACGGGCGGGCGCCGGTGCGGCGGCGCGGCAAGCGGTGGGCGGAGCCGTCATGGTTCCTCTGTGATTACTACCTGCCGTACGCGCTGGGAGGTGGCTATGTCGTGGGGCGCGACCTGGTGACGTTCGTGGCGCGGAATCGCGACGCGCTGCGTGCGTACGCGAGCGAGGATGTGTCGCTGGGAGCGTGGCTCGCCCCGGCGCTCGCCCGCCGCGTCCACGACCCACGCTTCAACACAGAGTACCGATCACGCGGATGCTTTAACGCTTACCTTGTCACGCACAAGCAGAGCCTCACGCAGATGCTGGACAAGTACGAGGAACTGAGGACGCAGGGACGCATGTGCCGGCAGGAGGTGCGCTTGCGTTACTCCTACATCTACAACTGGAACGTTCCACCGTCACAGTGCTGCATGCGCAACGACACCCGCGTCCCCTGACGCGTCTGCGGCGGGTCCCGCCTCTGGCAGTTACGATGCAGTGGAGCTGAGTCTCACCACGTGTAACTATGGTGCTTGTAACTGTAGCACTTGTAACCATGGTGCTTGTAACTGTAGCACTTGTAACTATGGTGCTTGTAACTGTAGCACTTGTAACTATGGTGCTTGTAACTGTAGCACTTGTAACCATGGTGCTTGTAACTATAGCACTTGTAACTATGGTGCTTGTAACTGTAGCACTTGTAACTATGGTGTGCTTGTTAAATTGGTAGGCGTGGTAAATATCACATCTTGATATACAAACAGTGTATAAGTACAGTCTTCTAAGCGGTGAATACAACAGTTTATTCCTAAGTACTAGCCATAACCGTCATGCCTGTTATGGTGGTCAAACTAAAAAAAATTAATAATATTCATCACATATAAGGTCCGATAGGTGCGTCGTGTTTTCGTGCTGTTGTGACTGCTAATGCAAAATTTCGCACTATTTTAAATGTTTTTGAAAGTGGAATGTGAAAAAATGAAACTGAAAAAAAAGATAGCCAATGAAAACATGTCATGATCTGTAGAATCGTTCCGTACACAAGTTTGGAGAGGATCGTTGAGGCGGTGCGGAAACGTATAGCCGCTCGCACACACACTAGCACAGAAATTCCAATTTATAGTAAGATAGACAATCAAGGCAGCAGTTAAGCGCACTTTCCATTATTAGTGCATTCCATTATTATTTATTCTATCAGTATGCTACGATGAAACACGTGTATTACCTAACTATGGTGGCTTGTAACTATTGGCGCTGTAACTATGGCCCTTGTGGCTATGGCCCGCTGTAACTATGGTCACGCTTGTAACGGCCATGGCCTTGTTGTAACTACGGCCTTTTTAGGCTCATCTTGACATAGCTCCTGATGTAGCTTGTAGAAATTGGCATGGAGCGGTGCGTCCGTGCGGCGCGTGCGTCGTCGTCCGTCCGTCGGCGTAAAACAGTTGGGCACAAATCTCAACGGCTCGAAGCGTACGTCCGATATTCGGGACGTGGCGGGTAATCCGAAAACAGTTGGGATGTTGCAAGCTGGGGTCAAAGGTCACACGTCAACGAGGTGTAGAAAGAAGGGGGAACATTCGCCTCCTTAACTTAAGATAGGGAGGAAATGCAGAATTGAGCACAAATCTAAACGGCTCGACTAGGCTCGTGATAGTCGGTGTTCGCATCATGGTAGGAAAAGCATCGACTGTGCGAATGGAGGTCACAGGTCAAAGTCAATGGGCACAGGGCAGATTTTTAGACATTTTGGCTGAGGAGCATGGTCCTGACGGAGCGATTGAAAACTTTTGTTTCAGGTGTGACCTAGCATTTTGTATGGCTCTATGAAAGGACGCATGAAATGTACTTCTGCTGACATGCAAAGAGTACGTGTCGATAACTTTTTGACGCTTCGAAGAGGAGGGTTAAACATGGATTTGTTTAGGGCATACTGTAGAAAGAATCTGACTGGCGCGCGTTTTGCTAGTAGCATCTATACATGCCTATGAGGCTACAATGTCACAGTGAAATTTCAAACGCTAAAATTTGGTTGAAAGAAGGTTTAGGCTCCTTAATCGTATAAATTTCTATGGGCATTCTGTACTGTCAGTGTGTTTACATGTAACTTATGCAGCTGCCAGTGCAATGTGGTGTTGATAGTATGTGTAGTTTTTTTGCCTGCGTTAATTAGTTACAGTGGCAGCTTTCTATGTTAAGCCTGTAGGCTTGCGGTAAGGTAAATGGATGAGTGCTTATTATTGCTGTCTTGCAAAAGTTTTGCTATACTAATACGATGGGAGCTTCCATCTTTAATCTAAGACATTCAAAACGTACACGCAGNTATATATATATATATATATATATATATATATATATATATATAGCATGGCAGCTTTCTTTCTATAAACAACTGGCACACGATTAAACTAATCACGCGCGCTCTCAGGCGTACAGTGTCGACAACGGTATATATATATATATTTATATATATTTATATATTTATTTATTTATATATATACGCGTGATGAGTTTAATCGTGTGTCAGATGTTTATAGGTGGCGCCGTAGTTGCCAAACGTCGCCACCTCTCAATAAGTGCATTAGCGTAATATAACATCACATTAATAACATACTGGGGGTGGAATTTATTTGTTTGTTCGCTTGTTCGTGCGTTCGTTAACTCATTCATTCATTCATTCATCCATCCATCCATCCATCCATCCATCCATCCATTCATTCATTCATTTATTTATTAATTTTTTATCACCGTCATCATCATCATTATTATTTAATCATTTTTGTTAGTATTAATTTATCATTGCTAATGTTGTTAATAACTTCCTGAATCTATTTTTACATTGAAATACCTTCCAAATAGGTTGTATCAGCCTGCATTCCATAGACCATAATAATAGTCTCCAATCAGGTTAATTTTCCACGATCTTCTCACAACCCCCCCCCCCAACCTCCGACACATCAACAAACGTTTAAACGCCTGCCGATCAAGGTATGAACTCCACTCATATTTGCAATTAGATTGCAGTTTCATGAGGCAGTAAGAAAGAGAGAGAGAGGAGGGGAGAGGGAGAGAGAGAGATAGAGAGAGAGTGTGAGAGAGAGAGAGAGTGAGAGAGAGAGAGAGAGA